ACTCGAGGACCAACTCAGAAAAAATGATTTTGTTTTGGGGTTAAACACTGTAACCATCTTGCAAACAACGAAAAATTATCCAAAAAAATTATTCATTCACCACGTCAAGCTCGGGGAAAATAATACTTATTTTTGAAAAAAAATGCTGCATTGATTTGAACTACACATACAATGAAGAAACAAACATGTTCATAAAAAACACGCACAATTTATTACAATACGATTTACATATCGTCTGAATTTACGGTGAAATACGCAAACTCTTGACGCAAAGCAATTTTCCACCATGAAGTTTTTCAGCATGATTTGACCTGGAACAATTTCCTTTGACATAACAGGTCATGTCTTTCATTAACCAATCAAAATGATGTGTCATAATGATGAAATTTTCCGATTATTGACAATGATTTTTTAACGCAATGCGGAAGTGAATTACCGCAATGTTAAAATGCGATCTGTAGCACTGATTGCAACGAAAAAACAATGATTTTTTTCCCCTGAAAACTGGCGATTCGCAATTTCCAAAATATAAATGACGGTTAATAGTAATCGTGGGTAAACTGAGTGTGGAGGAAAAATTTAAACACCTTACTCGGTCGCCAACATGTCTCATCGTTCAAACCCTAGGCCTTTCATGATAGTCTCAAAGTAAACCATGCCCAATAACCAGATACACGACTTAACGATCACATTTTTGGCTTTTCGAAAGCTACTACTCAAAAGAAATATGGATTACTCCAGAATTGCAACATTGGGGTTCATCCTGAATAAATGACAGAATAGAAAGGATGCACACCACGTTGTGTACGTTCGCCATGCACTCTGAAATTAATGAGTTTTCTCATAAAACTAAAAGCATGAACCAAACTACCATGCCAATCACGATTATTATGAAATGAAACACACCTTTTACACGCATATTTTACAGAATATCGTCGACGCCCAGTAAAAACACTCCCGGCTTATAATCGTGAATGCCCTCAACTCGATAAATACCAAGTAAAAATATAGGGATGGGCTTCATACTTGGGAGGGGCTTACGATCGGGGAAGTACAGTACTTTAACGCAATTGGGCTTTCACTCTCAGAATACTGTGGTTCAAACGCATAAGGCTCTAACCCAAGTTTTAAAAAGCACATTGTGCATATAAAAGTTGAGTTTATACTAGTAGTACACAATGCTTGGCAACATGAACGGCTATGTACAATGGCGTATGCGATCAGATACTATAACGTCAAAGCTTTGAAAAGTACCCGGATGTTTAATATGTTCGTTCGTTATTTATTCCCCTCCATGAATGGCCTTCATGGTATTTTTTTTATTGCAAGCACTTCAAATGCCTATCCAAGCTACAGTTATAATTAAAACAAAATTAAACCACTGCAGTATTATTTCGAATACAGTTTAGAATATGCACAACTATAAATTAAGGCTTCATTTAGGTTCGCTTTAATTTTCAACTTTTTCACTAATATCTCCAGTACTATTCATCATCTTTCAATGAATCTAAACTATGCAGAGAGCCAATTAGTTGTTGGTTAATATTTATGAATATTAATTACTAATTTGCATAATTAATACATTTTCAACTTTCACACTGATATCTCAAGTACTAATCATCACATTTCAATGAAACTTTGTACATAGATGCTCTAGGACAATGTACAAATATGATCAGTTTTGAGTTAAAATGTGTTCATATAAATTCCCTAATTAGCATAATAATTCATAATTGTTTGGTTCTGATCACATTTCAATGAAACTTGGTACATAGATGGTCTGTTACATTGCGCAGACCTTTAGTTTTACACTCAGTTCATTTTAATTTTCTGATTTGCGTAATTAGTTTTCAGCTTTTCCATCAATATCTCAAGTACAAGTAATTTTGAATTAATTTTTACTGTGTCTCTAATACTCTCAGCACACAAGAGTTCTTTCTAAGCTTTCTTTTATTGTTAACTTGAATTTACAGGAACATGCTTTGATCATTAATCGAAATGTTGGGATTTTTTAATAGCTTTTCCTGATTGATTTTGGCTTGGCAAAGAAATATCGAGATAGCCGTACAAGGCAACATATACCTTACCGTGAAGACAAGAATCTAACTGGTACAGCACGTTATGCCAGTATCAACGCTCATCTTGGTATTGAGCAAAGGTGAGTTTAATTAAGTGCATATCAGCCAAATATTACTGTGAAGGGGGTCTAAAATTTCAAATTATTTTTATTTTAAATTAAACCCCTTCCCCACCACCACAATCTAATATAGTGGGACTTGGGATATGCAAATTTCCTATTCAAAGGCAAAGTCATAACAGAGGTGGCTAAGAAAGTTGATAGGAAGATAGTAGTAGGTTTGATGATCAATTAATTTCCGAGTTCACTGTAGAAGCACATGTGCTTATGTAAATGACCTGTTCAGTGTAAATCGATCAGTACTGATTTTGTGTACTTTAAACCCAACCAAAAGTTTGTTTATGCATGTTTCCAGTAGAGTCAATATGCTAATGTTTGTCATTGGCATGCGATAGCCAGTCCCTCTGAGAGCCACTCGTATGTGCCTTGCTGTATAATTGGTAAAACTCCCCAAAAAATCTTTTCCAACCACTCTGATATCATCATAAATTCCAAAAGTACAGTATATCATGTTTTATTTATATACAGGTCTTGTATTTTTGTATGGGAGTGAATTACAGTCATGCTAATTCTTTAACGACCCTTTCCGGTCTTATATGCAAGGAATATAAGTACCAGTAGTTTCCATCCAGTGACAAATTAAAACTAGTTTGTCATTGGTCTTGAATTTCACAAAGAAAAAACAAAATGCCATAGTGTAGACTAATTTAATTGCTAGCTGAGTGGCAGGATGTAGTCAGGACACTATACATGAATAAAACAGTTCGGCAGATTTCAATGGAAGTAATATAACTTGCTCAGGACTTTATGACTGATTCCTTAATGATGCATGTACAGTTATGCTGTCTGAAATCTGTTTATTACTGATCATAATGAAATGCATTAATACAAAATCAATTGCTGATTTCACCCATCCCTCCCTACCCTGCTTTGTTCTTGTTTATGAGGCATTCAGAGGTCAGCTTTGTCTTGTTTATGGAGGCAGTCTCAGGTCAGATGTGATGTATGCACAGGGTCATGTTTCATACTGACCTTCAGTGTCCTTGATGCAGTTTCCTTCATACCTTTAATATGTATGTATTATAAGGTTGTTGGCAGAAGTTTACTGACCCTGGTTTAACCTTGTATTTTTTTCATTACAATGTAATAAAGATATATTACTATTATTATGATTCATTATCAATATTTTATGTAATTGAGGTTTGTTAAGTCGAATTTAGTGTTTGTAATGTTTGTTTATGGAAGTAATATCAGCCAGCCAGCTATTTAATTTGAGGTTTCTGTTTGTAGGTCTATCTTTGATATGGTTTATATGAGGAAGGGGCAACATTGCACTTTTTAACGTTATACGATATTATCGTCTAAAAGTTAGACATCTCTCTTTGGGTAACTATTGGGGCAGTTTGTTTATCTCCGATAATTATGATATCTATCGTCTAACAATGTCTAAAAATGCCATTAGATTTCATTAGATTTTATTAGACGATAATTATCTGATAATATCAGAGAAAAAACTATCTTCCCCAATAGTTGCCCAGACATGGGTGTCTAACTATGTGTAGCCTAGTGCAGCGTCTTCCTATTACGATGGTTTGGTTCCTACCATTATTATGCCTGTGGCAATATTGTAAAAAGTGTAGGTATACAAAAATGTCATTCTCACCTTACTGTTGACATTTTCAAAGGTTTATAAAATATATGATATTTTATTTTCAGTCGCCGTGACGACATGGAGTCCCTTGGCTATGTGTTGATGTATTTCAACAGAACCAGCTTGCCATGGCAGGGTCTGAAAGCCGCTACTAAGAAACAAAAATATGAAAAAATCAGTGAAAAGAAAATGTCAACGCCTGTGGAAGTATTGTGTAAGGTGAGTGAGAGATACTGTCATAATTGTCAAGATACATGTCCTTGATTCACGGTGAAAAACAATGTGACATTCATGTTGCCTTGCTACAGCAATATATTTTGTTGTCATGTTTACCCCCCTCTATGTCTGTACTTTGAATAATATAGTTGCATGAACTCGTGAAATCTAGGAACAGTTGACAAGCTGAAAATAATCTGTAACCTAGATGCTTATTGTAAGTTAGCTCTGTCACAATACTTCTATACAAACCATATTTTCAAGCACCAGAGTCACACAGCAGGAAGTGTTCATATTTGTTGTACATGCTTATATACATGGGATAAAACCGATATCAAAACTTCAGACTTAAAAAGTAAACAATTAACAAAACACCTCTACTTGTAGGATTAAAATAAGTCAATTATATATGCTCTTATTGTCATCATTTTCAAAGTTGTGTCTAATGAAAGGAAACCTGCATCAAATTTAGTGATGTTCTATAACATACCTGCTATAAATGAAGTTTCTATTCTGATTCCATTAACTCGTATAATATGACATGAACTGTTGCAGTCATGTATTGGGCTAATTTTTTGTTCACTGCAAGATTTCACATTATGCACTGATTCGAACGTAGAAACAAAGGTCACAGCGTTGTAATGTGTTCAAACATTGCATATGATTCAACAAACTCAAAACTATTTTTGGCGTATTTCCTTGTTTAATAACGTGCGATTTTGATATCTCTACTAAATGTCCTCATTAAACTATAAAAAAAAATCAAATCATTGGATTTTTGTGGCAGACATTGAAACCACATCTTTCAGACATTACGCAAGGTCTCGCTGTGAACAGAAAATCCGCTATTTACATAAACGTCTGCAATCTGTCAGCTGTCTTGACATGAAATGTATTCATTATATTATATTATAACCAAAAATATCTATGCTTCAAATATCTAGTTATTGATGAAACCTGATCAGGGACATTTGTCTAATGTATTGGTCAGCAATTAACCTACCTATCTACCTGCCTCATCAATAAATGATAATCAGATTGATACATTATCATAGAACAAAAATATTTTGTTTCATTGTAGATAAAACAAATAATTGTATAATAGTTGCATCCCTGTATGTCTTAATATTTACACTTGATTCACTATACATTCTATATGATTTTGCATAGCGTAATAATTGATGATTTATTTTTCTTGAAAAACAGGGATTCCCAGCTGAGTTTGCCATGTACCTCAATTACTGTCGTGGACTACGGTTTGAAGAAGCGCCTGACTACATGTATCTTCGTCAGTTGTTTCGAATCCTCTTTCGTACTCTGAATCACCAGTACGATTACACCTTCGATTGGACCATGCTGAAACAGAAAGTGGCGGCGGCACAGTCTGCCACAAATCCAAGCACCAATGCAGTGGGTACACCATCAGGTGCCAAGCATACAGACAGCAAAGCCAAGAGCAGCCGGCAACGTTGAACCAAAACCACCTGTAAATAAACTGTCACTAGCTTAACGTGGTACACCAGTGCAAGGAACCTTTCCAGGACTATAATGTGATGGCTTTCTGTGATCACACTTATCTGATCCTTGCATCAGCTGGAGGCATGCATTGGGCATGCTTTTTCCATCTTTAACTCTTCAACCTTGTTAACATCACCCTGTCATGCTATAAATTTCCAAAGATGACCGTGCATGACATCTGTTCATACTGTATATTACTCATATATTTTAGATTACCTTTGCTAGATGTATAGCTTAAGATGTGTATCCTATGTAAACAATTAGTGTTTAGTTAATATATTGATCAGACCCAACAAGTATGATAGAGGGGAAGGGAACTCCTGGTAATGTTTTTGATATAAATTACAATCTTCCAAAAAAACTTCTAGCCTGATGTTATTCTTGATTACACAAATAATAAATAAACTTCACAAGTTTGTAAAGTCATTGGTAGACTTTATCATTTTATCACTTCTTTAGCTGGGTCATTCTTTTATATTCAACTGTGAAGCTCAGAGAATTAAAATATTTGTATAAGATTGGATGATATATAATAATATGGCCTGGCACGACTTTGCTATTTTTGGTACTTTGATTTTAAAAGAAAATGTTAAAAATGATCCACATTTTTCATTCATTTTCAATTATTTAATCTTTTGGTATTTCTCGCATCACAAACATGAATATTCAAGTCCCCAAACTCTTTACATCATTTGCCGACAAAACTTTTTTGTCTTTTTATCGCTTTATTAATTGCTGCAAGATTATTGGGAATCCTTTACACAAGAAACAAAAAGATGTATGCTATGTAAACCTTGTATAATTTTTACTGCAGTCAATCAAGGTACAGTGTCTTTTGTTTGTTTTGTATCTTGTCCTTTTTGGAAGAATATCGAAAACAAGACATTTTGAAATGAAAGGTTTATTTTGTACAGAATAGAAACTATTTCCGTAGAGTTTTTTTTTTTTGTGACTACAGATTTTTAGTTTTACTGGCAATTTCTTTGAGTCTTTATATTTAGAGACTTGTATATGCGGAACCACATTGTGAGACACTGATTTATTGTTATATGATTCAAGTATAATATAGAGTGGAAAATAATTAAATGTGCTAGTTTGTCTTGTAGGAACATGTCTCTTGTATTGTGGAGTGTGTGAACATGTGTGACCATTACCTCTTTTCTATATTGTTTTGAATTTGCGTATTTACAAGTGTTCTTGTACGACATAATAAAACAGAGTTGTCATATATTTGTATATGCTAATTTTGATGACACCAAAGTGCTCTGTTTGACGTGATCGTCTTGTTTACGCAGTGTGGCAATTCTTCAAGATATTTGCTCAATTTTTAGCCGTTTTTTGGAACGATTGAATAATAATTCTAAAAATACACATGTGAGCTTGCCAAATGAACCATTGTTGCCACAATTCATAGTTATCGGATCGTATATAACCTCGGAAGTTTTGGACAGTTTTCAGGCAGCAAGTTCAATAAAAAAAAAGGTTCGGCAGTATGTAGCATAACACTGTGATGATATGGGTTTTTGATCTGCCCTGTCTTGTGTGGCGCACTGTGGTGATATGGATTTTTTTTAGCTCCGCTGTCGACTTTGTCGAGCGGAGCTTATCATACGAGTGATTTTCCATCGTCGTCGTCCTTGTCAATGTTTTACTTTTTCGACTTCTTGAAAACTACAAGCCTGAATGCTTTGATACTTGGTGTAAATGTACCTTGGGTAAACCTCTTGGGTTTGTTCATTTCATGATGATATCTTGTGTTGCTCTTTGGTAATATGGGTTTTTGATCTGCCCTGTCTTGTGTCACACTGTGGTGATGTGGGTATTTGATCTGCCCTGTCTTGTGTTGCCCTGTGGTAATATGGGTTTTTGATCTGCCCTGTCTTGTGTCGCACTGTGGTGATATGGGTTTTTGATCTGCCCTGTCTTGTGTCACACTGGTAATATGGATTTTGTATCTGCCCCGTCTTGTCGCACTGTGGTGATACAGGTTTTTGATCTGTCTTGTCTGGTGTCACACTGGTAATATGGGTTTTTGATCTGTTCTGTCTTGTGTCGCACTGTGGTGATATGCATGTGATAATGTTTGTAATTATAGGTGTTACACTGAAACCCCACTGTTGCGATTAAGTCCAACTGGTGAAAACAAATAATAAATGCTGAAACCACCTTGCTTAATTTGTCAGTGGAATGGTATTTATATTCATTTCACATGTAAAGTATTCTTCAAACATACAGCAATCGCAATCAAATCTCTCATTGACTAAATTTCTGCTGCAAAAATCGAATTTATTTTGAACTTGCTTTTTATAGTTCAATGGAGAATATGGTGTTGAGATGCATTCAAGCGTAGAAATACCTAAATTATGTTTTCGCGCGCAATCCCATGCGATGTTCAGACTGCACTGCACTATGTATGACCTTTGTCCTGTTTTTGACTCCCATGTGCGAAGCACATAATGGGAGTCTTTGCAGTTAGTGTGTGTGTGTGTGTGTGTGTGTGTGTGTGTGCGTGTATGTGTGTCCGACTGTTCCACTGCTATCTCAAGAACCATACATCGGTTTTTGATGAAACTTGGTGCATAGATGCTCTGGGCCAATGCGCAGATTTGATTAGGTTTTGGTAAAAATCCATGCTCGTTAATTACCTAATTTGCATGATAATTAGCTGATTTTTAGCTGTTCTATGACTGTTCCACTGATATCTAAAGAACCACTCATTGGATTTTGATGAAACTTGGTACATAGATGCTCTGAACATATGCGCAGATTTGATTCGTTTTTGGTAAAAATCTGTGCATATTAATTACCTAATTTGCATGATAATTAGCTGATTTTTAGCTGTTCCATGAAACTTGGTACTTACATACTCAAGGACTATGCAGAGATTGATTGTTTCTGATAAATATTTGTGCATATTAATCACCTAATTTGCATAATGATTAGTCAATTTTCGGTTTTTCCACTGATATCTCAAGTACTAATCATCACATTTCAATGAAACTTGGTACATAGATGTCATATGACACTGCACAGACCTGATAGTTTTTATGGTAATATCAGTACATATTAATTACCTAATTTGCATAATTAATTAATTTTCAGCATTTGATATAAGTACTAATCATCACATTTCAATGAAACTTGGTACATAGATGTCATATGACACTGTACAGACCTGATAGTTTTTATGGTAATATCGGTACATATTAATTACCTAATTTGCATAATTAATTAATTTTCAGCATTTGATATAAGTAGTGAGCATTACATTTCAATGAAACTTGGTACTTACATACTCAAGGACTATGCAGAGATTGATTGTTTCCGATAAATATTTGTGCATATTAATCACCTAATTTGCATGATTAGTTAATTTTCAGCTTTTCCACGGGTATCTCAAGTACTA